TAAATTAAGAATTTTTTAATTCTCAAAACTTAGAGGAAATAGAGAAAAAGGATTTGAAATTGCAAATAATACGGATGAAATGAGTTAAAATGATAACTGAAATTGGAAAATTTCTTCATGATGACCATATATATATATATATGTATCCGGCATGAAAACTGATTCCAGTAATCAGGAAAAGTGATACGATCCCGAATAAGTATATAATATTATAATCAAAAAAAAAAAATTCCTTTGATAAAAATTTGCATTAAAAAACTCTTATTAAATATAATGGCAATAATTGTATACTTAATGTTTTATTCAAAAAATTTACTTAATTTCGGAAGAAAAGATCAAAAATCAATCAATGAAGAAATTACAAAATTTTATAAATGCCTATTATTCCATTATCTCAATCATTAAAACTATCTTAATTTATCAAACTGCTTACTGTAATTAACTAACAGAATGTGTTACTGTCTAATCCATTTGTTGTTTTGCCTATTACATTATTCTATTACAATGATTTTTTAAAGCTTCTCATAATTTCATATTAAACATAAAAATTAAAATTCGAAATTTTAATGGAATGAAAATTTATTTATAATCAAAGAAATTCGTAACTTTGAGCATTCTTACTATAATCCATTAACATTTAGCAATTACTTTTCATTTAATCTTTGAACCTTTTTTTTTGTTTTTTCATTTTTTGATTTTTTATGTAACATTTCATATTATTTATTTTATAGCAATAATATTTTATTTCAAAAATTTGCATAAAACTTTCATGCATAATTTATTGAGGAAATAAAAAATTTTGTTGCAAATTATTAAAATTTAAAAAATTGAATGAGGAAATAATCAAATTTATGACATAGCATGAAGTTCAAAAAAGCAAATTGTGTATAGATCATATTGATTGAAATCATATCAATGATCATGTCAGTCGTATCATATCAAAAACCGGAAATCATATCGATTGATTTCCGTTTTCGAAAAACGTTTATATCTCATTTGTTACGATAAACAAATGCAAAAAAAAAGGAGTAATAATAGCTAATGGTTTGGGAAATGATTTAAAAGTGACAAAAAATATGCTAAAATATGAAATTTGAGAAAGTAGCTTATTATCAGTGCTTATCAGTGAAGTGATTGATAGGGACAAAGACGAAAATATTATCAATCACACCACAATAATTCCTATTACTTTCAAATTATTTTATCAAGATTAGCTATGCTATAATTTTAAGATAAATAAATAAATTTACGTTTGGCTTTCTTGGCATTTATCTTTTCATCCTTCAAATATGAATAAACTAAATTTCTTTAAACTTCCACATTCTATAAACTAAACTATCATGGAAATGGAAATAAAAAAGACCATTAAGTAATAAACTTTTAAGCTAAACTATTAATTTTATTGTTGTTGGATAGTTTTGTTTGAATATTTCATTGGATTTATTATTTAGTAATAAAAAAAAAAGAAAATTAAATACTTGATTGTAGAAAATTTGTTTTCAAAAATAATAATTTAAAAGTAAAGTGAAAAAAGAAATGAAATTTGTTTGAATAATCTTTGCATATTAAATTTTTTATTAACAATTTGAATAATACTTACTTGTTTGGATTTAACTAATCAAAAATTACCATCCACAGAATTAGAAAAATGGATAAAGTTTAGAAAAAAAAAAGGTGATAATAAAAGAATCATTCATTATCATCACTTTAATTTGATTAAGTTAATAAATGATTCAATTTTCATGCATGGAAACTATTATTTATTATTTTTATTTATTAGTGATTTGATGATAAATAATATAATTTGAAATATTTCAGTCTATTATTCATCATTCTTATCACCATTTCGTATTGATCAAATAATAAAGGCTAAATTTATGATGCTTTGATAACAATCATTTTTTTTTTTACCACAATTTCGTGTTTACTAGGTGATAAGTGATAGAATATGCCAATCACTTTTTATTAGTATTATCTTGTTGTATTGATCAAATAATAAATGACAAATTCAGAATATGACTATTATCACCATTTTTTGTTGATAGAATAATAAGTGTAGATTTTAGCCTAAGGCAGTTATCATTCATTATCATCAATTAATGTTAATCAAATGATAAATGATAAAATTCCAAACAAGCTTTCTGTCTCTATTTTACAAACTTAAACAAAAAAAAGGAAAGCTAACAAATAATGGCGTAAGAAGGGATATAATTTTAAATTAATAGCATTGAATAAGTTACTTCAATTAATTTCCTATGGGAATATTGTCCAATAAAAAAATTCATCTAGCTAAAATGAAAAGGAAAAAATTGATAAAAATTAATTTATCAAATTGGCTGATAAAAAGTGGCCTCAAAGCATTAAAGCTTGCTATTTTCATAAAATTATCATAAAATTATCACCATTTTGAAAATTATCATTTTGAAAATTATCATGAAATTATCATTTTTTTTTCATAAAATTATCATGTGAGAAAAATTTAAAAAAAAAACAAATTTTAGGGCAAATTTCGAGGAAATAAAAAAAATTTTTTGTTAAAATTTAGTAAAATTTGTGAAATGTTTGAAAGATTTACAAAAAAAAGTAATTAATTTTTGCCACTATTTAAGACATATTTCATTAAACTGATAACACACACACACAAAAAGAGCTTTCTTTATCTTTTTAGCAATAGCAATTTATTATTTCCAAATATTCCCATGAGCATTATTTTTAATTCCTATAGCAAAGCTATTAATTAGCTTTAAAGTTAATTAATAAGGTAGAAGATACCTTATCGTAATGCAAAATGCATTAAATTAATTGTTATTATCAATATTAATAGTCAGAAAATGAGTGATCAAAAAAAGTGATCGATTAATTCAAAGTTCAACAATATTCAAATTTTTTTACTTTTCACTTCATTTTACTACCTTCAATAACGTTTTTCTTGATAGACAAGGAAGTAACAGTGTTAAATTTGCGTGAATTACGTGGGTTACGTGAATTGTGATAAGTTTTTAACGATAAAAAAGTTTGTTAACGTAAAATGAAACCCATAAGAAATATGGATTGGAAAGAATTTTAAGGTATTGAGCGAAAAAAAAAGAAATAAAATAACTAAGTCTAGGAATAAAATTTTCTTTTTTTTCTCTCCCTCTCTCTCTCTCTCTCATTCGTCCAATATTTGTGGGTTCAATTTTAAATAAAAACAATTGATAAAAAGCTTCTGCATTTGAACTTTGAACCTGAAATTGCTAACATTTCAAATTCTTTTTTAATCAACATGTTTAATACTAATATGAATCAGTTCTATTTTGAATAAATAAAAATTTCAAAAAAAAAAAAGAATTCCAATAAAATGATTATCAAACTTTTTTCTTTTCCTTTTATTTTTGACCTTTCAACCATTCACCTTTCGATTTTTTTTTAAAACTCATTTTCCCTTCTTATATTTTAAAAAAAAATCAAAAATCAAACAAAAAATGATATTTCCTTTTTTTTTCTTCCCCCTTTCTCTCTCTCTCTCTCTTTGTTCTTTCCCTCTCCCTTCTTTTCTTAAAAATACCAACTAAATTTTTTATTTAATTAATTAAACGTTCGGAAACAAAAATGAAGAAAAACAAAAGACAAAAAAAAAGAATGCACAAAAATTCGATGAATTTACCAAAATTTTTCATATTCATATTTTTAAGTAAATGATTTGAATCATATGCTAATTATCATAAAGCTAACAAAAAAAATAAACGTTTCTAAATAATTCCATACAATTTAATTACTTACTTAATTAACTTTAAAAATCATTTACCAGTTAATTACTTTTGTAATTTTCATCATTTCATGCCATACTTTTTTCATATTTTTTAATAATGTAATTGAAATTTGATATCTGTTTCTTTTCTTTTTTTTTTTTCAAATTACATTTTTTTTCTTTTTTCTTATTTGTTATCTTTATGTAATGAAGTGGAAAGAGGGGGAAAAAAAATGGAAAAATAAAAAATAATTTATTTTTTTACTTTAAATTTATTTATTTTCCTTTGTATGTTTTATAACATTTTTTAAAATTTTATTTATTAAATCAATTAATTTATTTCAGAATAAAAATTAAACGAAAAAAAATTAATTGTAAATAATTGCTAAAATAAAAACAAAAAAAAAAAACAAAATACGAAGTTGCTCATTGAAGAATTTTGTTTTCTTTTTAAGTTATACAATTGATTTAAATTCAATCAATTATTTTGCATTAGCTAAATTTATTTTAGTTTTTTTTTCTTCTTTTTGTTGTTTTTACTTTGTTAAATAATATTTGAAGGAAGAAAATTGATTAGTATAGGATTAATTTAATTTGTGTAATTGATAAGAATTGCATAATTAATTAATCAAATGGTATGAATGGTTAATCGATTGATTGATTGATTGATTAAATGATGTTAAGCATTATGTGTGAGTGTGATTTTGATAAAATTTATTGTCAACAAATTTAATATTTGAAGTTTAATTTTCATTTTAACAATATAAAGAATAGTTAGAAATGAAGAAAAATGGAAAAAGGTTGGATTCATCCACTAACTTAATCATTAATGAATGGAATGGAATGAAATGGAATGGATTGTGCGCTGATTGAATGGATTATTTAAATGCGCTAACAAAACTTTTCTTTAAAGCTATTTAAGTTTAATTTGAGAAGCTTAAAGGCAATTTAAATTTGGGAAGCTTAAAGACAATTTAATAGTTTACTCCGTAAAAATACATGCCTTTTCAAGTCATTGTTAAATTCTAAAATCTATTTAAACCACATATCTTACATTCCATTTGTCATTGTACGAATTTTATAATATTGTACACATACACTTACATATATATACAGACACAGACAAAGACACACACATACACACATACATATACATACATACATATACACGCATATAAACATACATACACGCACACATATAAATAGTTACATATATAACATACACATACATGTACACACACACACGCACATGTGGATATACGCAAATATACACACATACACCATATGCACACACGTACACATATACATCACATACATACACATACACACATATGCATATGCAGACAACATATAGACATACACATAAACCGTATACACACATGCATGCACATGTACTATATACATATACATACGTACATACACACATACACATACATGGCATACGGATAAGTACAAATACAGACAGATACAACCACACACATGCACAAATGCACACACATACACCATACGCACACACACATACCACATACATACACATACATATGCATACACATACACATTCATTACAAGTATCCTTCATTTTGTTTGCCTTTTATCCCATACAATTTGTCGTTTTCGCTAAAAAAAAAATAAAATAAATAAATTTTTAAAAAGTTTTTGAATAAGTATGCCATACTTACTTATGCCACTTACTATTCCTTGTCTCCTCTGCTTGCGCCATTATCTTTTGTTTATCTTAAGTTAGTGAAATATTTAAAAAAAAAAAAGAAGCAAACAAATTGATTGCAAAAGTAAAAGTTTTAAGTATTAGTAGAAATGAAATTCTAACGAAAAAAAGAATTTATTTTTGCTCTTTTAATTAACAAATTTTTTGACATCAAAAATTATTTGTGAATGATTTAATTTATTAAATAAAATAAAAAAAGTTAATAATTCTTTAAGATTTTTTTTTAAATTTGTTATAAAAAAAGGCAATTTTTAAAATTATATTTATGAGGTTTTTTATTTTTTTTTAACATTAATTATACTTGAATATTTTAATGCAAAGTTTTTAATCCATGCAAAGAGACAAATGAAATAGACTAATTGAATGTGATAAAATTAAATTAAATTATTACGTAAATATAATTAAATAATTTTTTCGTACTGCTAATTTATTGCTTATTTTTGTATGAATTTTTTTTTTTTAAAATCTTGCTACTTTATTTTAATATTTTACTTTTTTTTCAAAAAAAAAGAACATTTCATGTAAATGAATTTATTATTTTATTGTCTTTTCATTTTATAAATTATCATTTCCTTGCATATATTATATTAAAAAAAAGCGGAAGTTTATGACAATTTGTGCTATTAAAAGAGAAAAAGAAAGAAAGAAAATGAAATTTTCTTTCTTTCTTTTTTTTTTTCATTTCTTTAGAAATCATTCAACCGTTCTATTTATGATCATTTCATCTAATGCTTTACTTTTATGTTTGCTTCGTTTAATCGCAAGAAAACACAAAAGTGCTTTTGTGTTGGTGCTATTGTTATTATTATTATTACTATTTATTATTATTATCAATATTCTTTGTTGTTATTATTATTATCATTATTATTATTATAATTATAATTATTGTTATCATAATAAT